ATGAAATTTTCAGGTAAATGGATGGAACTAGAAACTGTTATACTAAGTGAAGTAACACAGACTCAGAAAAAATAAAAAGACATATGTTCTCCCTCATATGTGGATCCTAGCACCAAATCCTGATAAGTGAGTATGTATCCAGATGTAACTGGAGGAACCAGAGCAATGAAAAGGAACCAGTGAGGTAAAGGTAAAGAAAGAACCTGAGAGAGAAGAACAGTAGGAAACAGGCATTAGTAAGGGAGATATGGATTAAAATGAGGTTATTTTAAGGGGAGGGAGGAGAGGGAGTTATACAAGGAACCCTGGGGATAAAGAGAAAGAAAGAGCTCAAGAGAAGTGGGACCATAGGAGAAGGGTATTATTAATGGAGAAGTGGGAAAAATGTGGGCACTTTAAATGAAGAAACTATGGTGGAAGGGTTAGGCAATACGAGAGATAAATGCCTAGCTAGTTTTTGAAAAAAACAGAGGGAACCATATTAATCGAACAACGTACTGATAAATTATATATACAACTAGTTAGTTCAAGGAACATAATACATGTCTAGTCAAATTTTATCTGAGAACCTTTGGTCTTTCCTCAAGCTTTATCTACATATCACATGGTAATTAAAAGTACCAGACTGGTGTAACTAACCTTGGATGTCTAAAAGCCGTACTTTGAGGCCTATACTAATTTGGTCAGAGGGACATGAAGGACAATTTTTGCTCCTTGCCCTCCTAGATTGACAATCTCCAGGGGACTATGAGCATGTCTCAAAATGTCCTGTAACTGTGGTGAGTCACCTGTCCTCTTGATCAAGGAGGTCATGGAAACCCCACCAAATGGACTTGAACCAGTGTCCAGTCTACAAAGAGAAGGGTCAACCCAGAGGAAACATTTCCTCCATGCTTCCGAGTGAAGCCAGCCATAGTTAAGCAGGTCCTTTGACTTATCTTCACATAGATGGAACTGGTAGAGGAAAGGAGCCAGGGGCCCCTCCTCAGCCCATGTGACCCCTGAGGAACAGATCCTCAAATGACCTTAAGAGTAAAAATAAATTGGTTTATCTGGGCCAACTGTATGGTCCTAAACATCCAAAAGGAAAGTGTAACCAAAGATTAAAGGGATCAATATAATTCTTTAAGAGTCCATGTGTATAGCTAAAGGCTACATAACAAGAAACAATGCCAGACAGGAGATACCTTCCTTTGAGTTGTTGGCCAGGGTGGCCCAAAAGACTCCCAGACAGTGACCCAGCATAGAACTGGGAAAATGAAAAGCAGACCCCAATCTTATCTAAAGGAATATTGGCAACTGATTCCTGCCAGATGAGGAAGAGCTGATCTTCCTAAAATAAGGAACTCTAGATAATCTGAGTAGATTTAGTGGATTGACAAACATTGGGGAATGGCTGGGGATGCCGACAACACAGCGGACAATAACAGGGATTACATAGTATATGGGCTCCAGTGGCGGGAGAGGGGGGTACTATGGGAAGGTGCCATTTGGGATGTGGTTATATAGATGAATAATATTGTTTGGGATTATTTTGTAATAAATACACAAAAAAATCCACAAATAAAAAATGAATTATATTTGAGGAAGAAGCATAAAAATTTGCTTCATGTTAATTAGTAGAGGTGAAACACATTACCATTGAAATCTACCTGATGACTTTATATCCATGCTGAGGTGGATCTCAGAAAGTAACCGACTGTGACTAGTAATAATCAGATACATAGAAATTAGAGACACGTACAAACATCTAAGTGTTAGTAGTATTAAAAATGAGTGTTTCTGTATAAAACCATGTGTTTTAAAATGAAATGAAGATTTTTTTTTTTTTTCGTCTTTTTGAGACAGGGTCTCCCTGTAGCTCCAGCTGTCCTGGAACTCACTATGTAGACCAGGCTGGCCTCGAACTCACAAAGATCCTCCTGCCTCTGCCTCCCAAGTGCTGGGATTAAAGGCATGCGCCACTGCACCCGGCATGAAGATCTTTTTTAAAAGTTAAAACCTCATTCAATTTTATGCCTTACCTTTGCATCACTTATAGTGCATCTTGAAAGCCACTGAAGGAGGCATCAAAGTGAGAAGATGGCTTCCTGTTCCTAGTGGCCACAGACAGGGTTCTGCAGTCAGGGTACCAGGTATTCAATGCATAGTAAGTTCCCTGCCAAACCCAAACAACAAAAAGATGCCATGTTGCATTTTTAGGAGGAGTCCTGCCAGCTCTATCCCCCTTCATTCTCCCTGGCAATAGCAATTATGAATTGCTCCTTGAACAAAAATGATTACACAGTTCTCATAGACTGAGGTCTACAGTCTCATTATAGGTAACTCAGAGGGCTTAGTTATGGATTACAAAGTATCTTTTGCTTCTTTGGTGGGTTTTGTTTTGTTTTGGCTCGTTAGCTTTTTTAAAAGATAGTATCTCAGCTGGGTGTGGTGGCCTACACCTTTAATCCCAGCACTTGGGAGGCAGAGGCAGGCAGATCTCTGTGAGCTTGAGGCCAGCCTGGTCTACATAGTGAGATCCAGGACAGTTGGGGCTTAAAAAAGCCAAAAAAAAAGATAGTGTCTCAGGGCTGGAGCAATGGCTCAGAGGTTAAGAGCACTGGTTGGTCTTGCAGAGGATCTGGGCTCAATTCCCAGCACCCATGGCAGCTAACAACTGTTTGCAACTCCAGTTCCAGGGGATCCGACAGCCTCTTCTGTCCTCTGAGAGCCTTGCATGACATGGGTGCACTCACCTACATGCAGGCATCACACATAAAATAAAAATAATAAAAAAAAAAGTCAGTAAGGCATAGAATGGTGGTGCACACCTGTAGTCCTAGCACTTGGGAGGTGGAGGTAGGAAAATGGCTAGTTTGAGTCCAGCCTGGGCTACATAGCAAGAAAAAACAAACAACCTGTAAAGCCAGTCTGGCAAAGCCTGTGGCTCTGACCCAGGGCTGCATTCACAACCTACCTATTGCCCTGGGGCTTCTAGGTGATGCTGGGATCCTGAAGGATTCATCAGAGTCCTGTTGAGACTGGTGAGCTTGGGTCTGAAGGAGTCCAAGACCAGAAGCCTGCCAGACCCTGCCCTTCCTCAGAGAAAGCAGTGACTCATGGCCAACAAGGCGGCTTTCTTAGTAAGAACACCCCAGCCTGGGTGGACCGACTTCTTATCCTCAGAACAAGGCATACTTAAAATCTAGAACTTTCTAACACTAGAGCTCATCCACTCAGCTACCTCTCCTCTATTGTCAGAGGAATTATGAAGCCTCAAGGATCATCAGAAACATGACCCAGGACATGTGGGCTCCCTGAGTTCCCAAGCATTATGTTCCGGATGCTGTGAAAGTTGAATCACTTTGGAGATATTTCTGAGTAGAAAAGAGCAAACAGTAACACACTGCAGTATTCTAACGCCGGCTCCTGTCTACCATGTGAACGTCTTCCACGTCCAGCTGGGAAACAATAAAACATCACACACTTACCTCCTTGATTTTCTCAGAGCTGATCGGTTTGTTTTGGGTATCAATTGCTCCTTCTGCTACAATAATAATATTCAGTCTCTTTTTTCGGGCACGGTTCTAAGGAAACAGAAAATTAAAACTCTTAAATATTTAATTTGTTTTTAAGGACAACAGTAAACCCAGAGAAGTTTCTCCTAAATTGAAATGGCCTCTTTCCAGGCAGAAATGGTTGCTTAATTTGGCAAGGAGTACTTCTGAGTAACCCCAAAGAAGGTGAAAGGTGGGCTGGGCGTGTGGCTCACTAATAGAACACTTGCCCCGAGTGTGTCCTGGGTTTTATCCCTGGCACCACAAAAATAAACTAGAAAGAAGGTGAAAGGTGCCTTGGTGAGGGTGAGGTGACATTACAAGTACATGTGAGAACCTGACCCCAGTCAGGGTCTGATTGAGGTGAGGTGTGTAGACCATCTGGTTGACAGTAATCTCCACAATAGGGAGCAAGCAACAGACGCTGAACGTCCCCAGTTTTGCCTCCCCAGAGCCATTGCTGTCTGTCACCTTTATGCCAGAGTTCCTTGCATACTCCCTGGGGACATCCCTAAAGCTATGTGAGGCCAACAATTCTCCCCCATCATGTTTGATAATACACACACAGGCGTGATCAGCAGAAAGGCAAGACCCAGATAAGAAAATGAGAAAAGATGCCGGCATGGGCATGCTCTCTAAAGGTCCGTGTGTTGAAGGCTTGGTCCCCAGCCCAGGAAACTATTGGGTAGAAGCTTTAAGGGGTGGAACCTAGTGGAAGGAGGCGTGGTAACTGGCAGAGGGGAATGCTCTTGGTTGGAATATCAGGACCCCACCCCACCACTCTTTCTTTCCTTCCTGATCATGATGAGGTAAAGAGACCTCTGCCCTGTGACTGTGCCATGATGCATGGTGTCATCACAGGGCCAGGTGACACTAGGCTGAAACCCCCAGAATCACAAGTGAATATAGACAGTCTCCTTCATAGTTGATTTAGCTCAGGAATTTGTCACAGTGACAGAAATCTGACTAACATGGACACAGAGCCCACACAAACAGTTTGAAGGGGGCACAGCTCCACCTTACACACCAGTGCATACTTGCTGCACCGTCGCATATGCACTCACAGTGGTCGTGCAAGGCTAGAATGAACCCAAGGTGCACAGCAACCACACAATCACCTGAGTTACCTCATTCTCAATGGATCTGCTTTCTATCAAGTCCCAAGTTATAATCTGTCCCTTGGAAAGCATCAGTGACAGATGTGTGGGGTTGTGGCCATGCCTCAAGGCAGGCCTGACCGGAGCTGGGTTAAGGAGTACTGTGCCAATGTGGACCACAGCTTTGGGACATCTGTGTCACAAATAAAGATTTTTTTTCTTGTTTCTGACAGCTATGTAATGTGTCACACTTTGAAGAATTTGCTAATCAGAAATAAACACTTATAAAAAATTATAAACACTATATAAAAATATATGAGTACAGGGTGATCAGCTTAGCATTGTTTGAAAGAACAACACTGTGAGTAATGACAATACCCATAAATATAGGATAGGCTGAACAGCCTTACTTCAACTGTAAAAATGAAAGACTTTAAAGTTGTTAAAAACAATGGAATTTAGGCCTAGGGAGACAGCGCACCCAGTAAGTTACTTGCTTTGCAAGAACAAAGACCAGAAGCCATGTAAAAATGGGGTGGGGGCATCATGAGGTGAGAGGTGTGGAGACAGGTGGGCCCCTGGGACTTGCTGGCCAGCCAGCCTAGCCTAGTTGATGAGTTCCAGGCCAACTGGAGACTGTCTCCGAAACTGGAAATAAAGGGTAGACAATGCTTAAAGAACACCACCCGAGGTTGATGCCTGGTCTCCATACATATGTGTGCCTGCACACACAGGAATGTGTACACATGAACAATGGAGTCCTCTGTATGTTTAGGTAGAAAGAGAGCCACCCTGTCCCTATACCTTAGAGTGCCTCCTGTTCTGCACCTAGACTGAATGATTCTTTGACCTTCCCCAAACCACTAGGAATATAACAAGGGCCTTTAGATACAGAAGCATGTTATTTGATCAAAATCACCCTGTTAGTGGAAGAGTCAATGTGCAGACCTAGAAAATTTATAGTTGTACCAAGTTTTTATGCATTTTATACTTAAGTATATATATTATGAGGGTTGATTCTCAGACTAATTCAAAAATATTAGAAAAATTTCTTGCACTGTGGTACTGACTAGTAAAAATAAACAACAGATACAAAAATATCAAGTGTTTCTAGACTAAGAGTAGTTTACATCATCAGCCTTACCTCTGCCAAAACCTGGGGGAGAGTGGGGCTGTATAACCTTATCACTGACAGTGCAATGTACAAAGTCTAGAATCTAAGATTTTCAGACGGGATTACATGGTTAAAGAAACAGCCTTGAAATCTAAAGTGAATACCAGAACTGACGGACCACCCAGCCACACAGCCTTACCACAGACTTGCTGTCAGCCAAGCCCTAAAAGTCTTTCCCAGCTTCTGGAGAACTGCCAATGGACCTGTAGTCTGTGACAATGTCATTGAGATCAGGTCAGAGGCATGTTAGGGAGAAAACGGGAAGAGACCAGCCACGGCTGCGAAGGAGGCAGAGACCACTGAGGTGATGTCCTGTGTAGTGGTCATCCATCATCTTCAGGACCACACAGAAGTGCCAGTTAACAAGAGCCACCACCTCTTATCTCACAAGGCCAGGGGTGGGCAACCTGTCTTTACCAGGCAGCTGGAGATGCTGGACATGTCCCCTGGGTTGGGACCAAGGGACAGGAAAGTTCTTCCTTCAGCAGTGATATCTACACTGTGGGCATCCACCACACTCACTGGCTTACTTCAACTAAGAGCTTGAACTTCCAAAGGATACCTGACTTTTTTTTGCCATGGTGACTTTAATCAATGACTTTTCAGACAGGGCTTTGTTTCCACAAAGCCTTTTTGGTATGTGGCTTGAATTTTTTTCTTCCCCAAGACTGTTAGTTGAAAGCAAGAGCACCATTTTATTGCACACACACACATTTCCAGACACTGATTAGGCACTTGCTGGATACAAATAAAATTGGACTGTGATATAATTTTCTTGTAGGCCAGTGATAAGACTGCTTCAAATATAAGGGAAAGAGAACTAAGCTTCATAGTAAGAGCTCTGTATTGAAGCCAATTATGGTCCTAAAGAAGACTTTCTACACCTTTTACATCAAGCCTTCATAGAGGCGTATGTTCCCCACCCTAATAAATAGCCTTGCTGTGAAAGAGGAACATACAACAAACTCTAGACAGAGGAAGAGACAGACCTGGTTCAAAAAACTTAGCAAAGGGAGGAGCATAAAATCCCACAGTTTGGGGCTGGAGAGATGGCTCAATGGTTAAGAGCACCGACTGCTCTTGCAGAGGACCCAGATTCGATTCCCAGCATCCACATGGTGGCTGTGAACTGTCCTTAACTCCAGTTCCAGGGGAATTTGAAGCCCTCTTCTGACTGCCTCGGCATTGCACGACACGGGTGCACTCACACACATGCAGGCAACACACTCATATACATAACATAAAAATAATAAATAAAATATTTTTTAAAATCCCACAGTTTAAGAAAGGAAACGTCAAAACACCCGACACATATTCGTTCAACTAGAGAGTCCAACAGGGTCTGTTAGAACTAACCAACATGCAGGTCTTGACTAGCAAACGAGTTTTCTCTGAGAGTCTGACTTATTTTAACCACCATGATTTCATCTTATGGTACCAACACAAAACCAGAACAACTGCTTTGGGTGAAAAAAGAATAAACAGCTCCAGCTATTTCTCCTTGGCAACTTCAGAAAGAGAAAGATACAGGAACAGCCCACATAGGAAGATCCCCTACAACATGGGGGCATCCATTTTAAGAGCAGTAAGTTTTCTCATGTTTCCTCCATGCTTCCAAGAGAAGCCAACAATGGTCGAGCAGGACCTTTGACTTATCCTCACATGGATGGAGCTGGTAAAAGAAAGGAGCCAGGGGCTCCTCCCAACCCCATGGGACCCCTGAGGAACAAATCCTCTAAGGACCTCAAGAGTAAAAACAAATCAGTTTATCTGGTCCAATTGTATGTCCTTAAACACCCAAAAGGGAAGTATAACCAAAGATTAAAGGAGCCAACATAATATCATAAGAGCATACATATATATA